TATGCAGGACAAGCCCTGTTGCCAACCCTGACCAGTGTCTACTCTAGTTGTACCTTGTTGGCACCATGAGGGGATCCCATCTCCAAAACCCTTTAGATGCATAGTTCAGGGTAGGGCTCCCATGCTTGACACTGTCCAGGTTGACCTGAGCGGGAGCAGGACAATGATATACGGTCTCCTGCCTTTGCAGGAGTTGGTGACTGCCTGGTACATTGGCTTCCTCTGCCTCATCCTGGCCTCATTTCTGGTGTACTTGGCAGAGAAGGGTGAGAATGACCACTTTGACACATATGCAGATGCACTGTGGTGGGGCCTGGTAAGTCCTGGTCACTGATCACTTCCTCGTCCACACACTCTTGGTACAGCTGTCCTGAGAATATACCCTGCCCCTTGGGACCTGAGGAGAGACCTAACCGCCTTTAGGCTAACCTGGGTGGGCATGTCTCTTGGTGGCCACCTGGTGGCTGGCTGTAGACATGATGGCATATGGAGATGACAGCTGAGGTTTGTGTGGTTATTGGGTTGGTAGATGTGACAGGGGGACAGACTGGGTTCCTTTCTTTCCAGCACCTTCCTGCAACCTCCACTTGGCACTGGATTTTGGAGGAGGAAGATTGGGGTGGAAGACTTTTGGGGTTTTGAGAGTAGTGACCAGTATAGAGCCATCCCAGGGCCCCCCAGCTCAAGAGTATGAATGACCCTCACAACTTTGGAGCAGTTGAAGGGTGGAGGCAGCATTGTTGTCATGGCCTTCCATTGCCAAGGCTAATTGCCACCATTCCAGGTCACTTACTTTTCTGAACTCCTATCTCTCTAGTCAGTCCTGCCTTTCATTGTGTGGGACAAGGGAGAGTACAAAGGGAAGATGGCTCCGTGGGTAAAGTGCTTGTTATTAAAGCATGGGAATTCCCTAGCACCCATGTAGAAGCTTGGCATCACACACGTACCACACCACACACCACACACACACCACACACACACACACTACACACACATACCACAAACACACACACACATACCACACACACCACACAGACCACACACACACACACACACACACACACACACACACACACCACACACACACACCACAAACACACACACACACACACACACACACACACACACACACATTCGTGCACATATACACATACCACACACACACACACATACACACACCACACACACCACACATACTACACATGCACACACATACACACATAGTCACACTACACATACCACACACACACACACACACACACACACATACCACACACACATACCACAAACACACACACACATATCACACACACCACACACCACACACACATACACATACCACACACACACACACACACACCTAACACACACAACACACAAAACACACACACACCACACACACACACACACACATAGACACCACACATAACCCACACACACACAAAGACACACTACACACACCCCACACACCCCACAGACCACACACACACACACACACACATACCACACACACCACACAGACCACACACACACCACACACACACATATACACATTCGTGCACATACACACATACCACACACACACACACATACACACACACACCACACATACTACACACGCACACACACACACATATGCACACTACACATACCACACACACACACAAACCACACACACACACATACCACACACACCACACACCACACACCACACACACACACACACACACATACCACACACACCACACACCACACACCACACACACACAATACCACAAACACACACATACACACACACACACACACACACACACACACACACACACACACAGAGCGAAGGGAAACCACAGGCCCTGACTCTCTGGGACTTTCCTAGGTGGTCTGCAACCTGCTGACAGTGGCCCTGAGTCCTCCACCACTTGCTGCTGCCCAAATACTAGAATCTTCCCTGGCCTTTGTGCCTGAGGCTCCTTCCTCATGCTTGACTCTGCCTGGGATACTCCAGAAGTCCTCTGTCATTGCCCCTTTTCAGAAGGGCCTGTTAGACACCACTGGACATCTGCTTGGAGTGGGGATGGATGTCAGGCTTCCTAGGTCCCTGTTTTCTGAGCACTACACTAGTCCTGAGACACACCCTAATTAGACGGAAATGAGTTTCTTCTAGCCCTTCCTCCCACAATGTTCTGGAATCCTTGGGGGCTCAGGGCAGAGGCTGTCGTTAACTGAAAAGCCATGAGGTAGTGACCTGGACAGGTGCTGTGCTTGCAGTCACTGGGAGAGGATCAGACAACTTCTCCTGGGGTGAAGCCACAGGCAGTTCATTAATGATCTTACTAATGTAATGGCCACAGGCCTGGAATCCTGTTGGGAGTGAAGGGAGTTTAAGGCTGGGAGGTAAGTGGCAGTGGAGAGTATGTGATAGACACAGCAGGAGCAGCTGGGCTGTCTGACTGTGTGCCCAGGCTCTGCCGAGGGAGTCAGCTGGCACCCAGGGGACCTGAGCTATAAACCAGCTGGCCCCAGGGTCCTGGAGATTGATATGGCCCATTCTCTTCAGAATTTTCTTGGGTCTAGGCCTTCCTTCTCTTTCAGAACTGAAGCAAACATTTTATCATTATTATTTCAAAGTAAATCCTTGTATTTTAAAATGTCTACTGGTTCCTAAAATGCAACCCTCTCACTACTGCCCTTTTGTCTGCTTAGCTGCCTCCTACCTGTCACCACTGGCCTCCTCCCGTCCTGGGCCATGCCCTCTCCTAGTCTGTCCCCCATCATCCCTGAACCCTGCTCTCCTTGGCCGTTGCTGACTCCTTACCCTCTATGGACCCTGGCACCCTGTACCTCCTTGCCCCTGACTTGGTGGGTACGCACCAGTTCGCTGGTGCTCCTACTTCTGAGCACAGAGCAGGGGCTAGATATGTCAGCAGTTCACCTGGATGGAAACTGCTGTCTTTGCTTGGTGCCGGTGTGTACTGTGTAGTCCACCTATCCCAAGTGTTAACCAGGGGAGCCTTGGGAATGAAAAGAGATTGAGGTTTTATGGAATGAAGGATAAAGGACAGCTGATGCTGACCCTAGCCTTGCTTTGCCCTAGTATGGGTGACAAAACAAGGGTGGCCCTGCTGTCTGTCCACCCCAAGTCTGAGTGGCCATCAGTGTCTAGATGCCCCCAAATATGCAGGCAAACTACTTGGGTGAGCTTCCCATGACTGAGCAGGGACATTGGCCTGGGATTGTTGTAGGCCTCTGGTAGGTCATTGTCAGCCTGTCCAAGTGACCAGAGCCCCCTGCTCCTCAGATCACCCTGACGACCATTGGCTACGGGGACAAGTACCCTCAGACCTGGAATGGGAGGCTGTTGGCAGCAACGTTTACCCTCATTGGTGTCTCGTTCTTCGCTCTTCCTGCAGTGAGTCCTACACCCCTTCCTGCCCTGGGGATGTTAGGGTGTGTCTCAGAGGCTCCCTGTAAAGACTTGACCACAGGCCACCTGTGAACTCTGAGGATCTTAGACAGGAGCAGGTCCCTGTGGAGTTCACAGTCCCTAGAGAGGGCCCAGACCTGACCAGAGTGAGGCTTTCCTGTTTTAGATGCCTGTAACCTCAGTAGACAGACTTCTAGTGTCTTCAGACTGGGCCTTTTGACATATCTCTGTTGACTTCTATGTCTCTCCCGTCTGAATGACCCTAGGCAGTGGGGTCCTCATTCACCCTACACAGAATGGGATGGGTGTGCCCACTGCTGTACTAGGGCTGGCAGAGGGCAGCTGCCCTATGGACAGGGTAGGTTAGGAGGGTGCCTGTTTGGGATCAGAAGGCACTGCCTTCTGCCGGTTAGAGATTTCTAGCCTGGTCTCTAGGTGATGAACTACTGGGGAATTCCAAAGATGTAGGAAGGTGGCACCTGTGAAACACATGCATTGTAGGCAAAGGTGACAAGGAGCATGGTCCCAGGATGTGGTCTGACCTCGGTGACTTGCAGGGCATTTTGGGATCTGGCTTTGCTCTGAAAGTCCAAGAGCAGCATCGGCAAAAACACTTTGAGAAGCGACGGAATCCTGCAGCAGGTCTGATCCAGGTGAGTCTTAGTCCCTACTAGGGACCAACTCCTGTTCTGATCCCACCTTATCTAGAAGGGAACCCACCAAGATCTTGGCATTGACAATGGCTGTACCAGGCCTTTCCATGTCTATGGATAGGCCATGGAACATGTTTGGAGGACGGCATTGTGTTTGTCATGAGAACAGTTCTGACACCTGAGGCCATACCCCATGACTCATGATAGAGATGCTGGGTGGTCCTGTCCCCAGTGGGCACTTGGCTCAGGCCATACTGTCTCAGTGACCATCCAGGTCACTTCCAGTGCCCTGGGATGTAGATGTCTCATCACATCTGTTCTGCAGCTGTGAGACTCACATCTTATTGAGGTTGATAATCTGGCAGCAAGAATTTCTGAGCCATGTCTGGGTTACTTCAATCTAGCTGTTCAACCTGTGAACACTGTGCCTTCCTTTCCCAAGCTTATCTAGCTGGTCTAACCATTTAGGGGCAGGTGGGATGTGGAGGCCACCTGAACATGCATGCAAGAAGACAGAGATTCCTGCTGGACCCAAGCGCTGGCCAGTATTTCCTGCCAGTTGAATGTGGTTCTATATCTGTCTTTCTCTTTAAAAGATGTGGCCATCACAGTCTCAACCTTGGGTCCAGCCTCCTTTTGTGTATGTATTACATAGCTTTCACCACAAAACACATGGCTACTGTTTTGTAACTACAAAAAACAAAGAAGAAAAGAATTCCTGTTTGAAAAACAAAAATGACTGCATGTCCATGGGGTCAAAAGGTTTAAGAGTGGACAGCAAAAATTGAATATCACCCCCATATACTCCTCCTAAAGGCCATTCAACAACAGCCTGTGAATTTTCCAAAAGTCAGAAGTGCCACCAAAGAGCAATAGCATCTGCTGTCCCTGCTTCACTCACATGTGACAGAGGATACCTGTGGGTGAAGTGTCCTTTATCAGGACAGAACAGTCTCTCTGCCTTGTCTGCACAGTTTTCTCCACTGTAGACTTCAAGATGGTTCCTAGAGCTTCAAGACATCTCCAACACATTAATGATGCATGGTCATAGGGTAAAGGCACTGTGGCAGAATAGCTGATCAAAGGTTCTTCCTCTGAGCAAAGCTGACCTTTCTGCATTTTGGGGGTCCAAAGATTTGGTTAGCAGTGACCCCAGTGGCCCTGATGTAGGGGTAAGGGTAGAAGGATTGATTTTTCAAGAGGCTTATCACCTGGGTTTGATTCTGGCTCCCAAGAAGAAAAACTCTTGGAGGGGGGGTCTCAGGAGGTACCAGGGCCTCCTGTGCCCCTGAAGCATCTCTATTATGTAGAAGTCAGCCTGGCCAACCTGGACCCCATGTAGTTCTTGAAGTTACTGAAATATCAATGGAGACCAAAGTAAGTCATCTCATGTTCATGAACTAGAATATTTAACCTCCTTAAAATGTTCTTCCCAAACTTTGATATGCAGGCTCAGTGCACTTCTCATAAGTCCAATGCCCTCTATGCCCTTTTGCAAAAACCGAAAAGCTAATGCTAAGGTGTCTGTGGAATACAATGGCCTACTGCGCTGGAGCAGGAGAACACAGTAGGGGGACTCGCAAGTTCAGATTTTAAATTTTCTACAAAGATGCAATGATCAAAATACTGTAGTTCTCACATGAGGACAAGTGTGCCAGCAGGATAGTGCGTGTATGAGTTAGACCATTTGTAGACTGATTACAGATGAGAACTGTTTCCATACATGGTCGGGACAGCTTGGGACCTGTTTGTTACTGTTGTTGTTTGCTTGTTTTATTGCAGAGGCTGGCCTCAAACTCATGTGACCCTCTTGGTTCAGCCTCCTCAGTTCTGAATAATAGGCATATGTTATCACGCCCTATTTGAAGCTTTTATTTATTTATTTGTTTGTTTGTTTGTTTATTTTTAATGATGTTTGGCCAGGCTTTGTGGCGCTTACTTGTAATCCCAGAACTCTGGAGGCTGAGGTGAGAAGATCTTGAGTTTGAGGCTAGGTTGGGATATGCAGTGAGACCTTGCCTTAAATAAAAGAGTTAAAACGATTAAACTCTTTAGAAGTAAGCAAGATTTATTGTTTTTATCTTCTATATATGACACCAAAAAGCACAAGTAACAAAAGTAAAATTAGAGAACATTAAAATTTAAAACTTGTGCCTCAAAGGACATTCAAGAGCGAAAAGACAACCCATAGAATGGTGGTGGGGGGAGCTTGGCAATAAATTCAAATCCAGAATATATAAAGAACCCTAAAAACTCAATCACAGAAAGACAAACAACCCAGAGGGTTCGGGAACAAGGGACTCAAATAGACATTTTTCCAAGAAGAAAGACAACCGGACACAAGCATCTGAAAAGATGTTATGTTGTTAAGAGGAATAGAGATCAAATCATGAGAAGCCACTTCACACACACTGCAATGGTTAAAATGGAAAATAAGTGTGGCACTTGGTGGCATTGGCCCTTCGCACACCACTGAGGGGGTTGCATGGGGCAGCAACCACTCAGAAAACAATAATCAGAGCTGGGTTCACTGGTGGAACATGTGTCTCACATGTGCAAATTCTGGATTCTACCAAAAAGGGGGAAGTGTTCACTCCTTTGTTAGAACCCAAAACAGGTGTACAACCAAAATCCTGCCTGTTTATAGTTCTCCGTACATAACAGCCGAAATATTGGATGGCTATGTTCATTGGGGCGTGACCAAAATGCATGTGGCACACCTGTGCAACCAAGGGTTATTAGTAAGGAAAGGGATGAAGCTCAGGGCACACTAAAGTTCAGGTGAGCTTTGAGGGCCTTTCCCTCCATGCAAGAAACTAACAGGCAGACCACATAACATTGAGATTCCACCGACAGGAAATTTCCACAGTGGTCAAATATGCAGAGACTACAAGACTGATGCTACCAGAGCCTGGGAGGAGGTTGGAATGAAAGTGTCTACCTTTCTAAGGGTCAGCAGCTGTGGGTAGAGTGGCCATGGTTACACAATGCTGTATGTACTTTAAAGCAGTCAAAATGATGGACTTCATGCCATGTGGATTATGTTACATATACAAAAAGATGTATGGGGGCCTGGAAAGAAGCCCGAGCCAGTGAGGAAGACCGAGCCTGGGCCACCTTGCCTGGAGAAAGGAGTTACATCCTAGCCTTACCTCCTTTCCTAGGTCTCATGGGGTTGGGGTTAGGTCTTGTTTGGGCTGGGGAGGGCAATCAAGTCACCCACTGGATGTCAAGAAAGCCAGAAAGGAAGGAGATTACCAAGGCTCACTGCAGACTCACTCCAAGCTAGAGACAGTATCTCCCATACCCTACCAGCTTCTATGGGTATCATGCTTGTCCCACCAGGTTAAACTGAGACTGGGGGGTGAGGACAGGCATGGGGCTGCAGTTCTATGTTGCTGAGGTCCCTGGAGAAGGGTAGCCTCGGCCCAGCCACAACAATCTCACCTATTTCCACTGCAGTCTGCCTGGAGATTCTATGCTACTAACCTCTCACGCACCGACCTGCACTCCACGTGGCAATACTACGAGCGAACAGTCACTGTCCCCATGTACAGGTACTGCGCCAGGCCCAGCCTCACCACCCTGCATGGTGGTTTGCTTTTTAATTTCCATTTGTCCTTTACCCCCATTGATTTTTATTTCTTTTTTTTTCAAGTGTGTGTATTTTTCCACAAAAGATTCTATGTGGTTTATTTCACAGTATTGATTTTATTCTTTGTTTTTACAGTGTTGTGGCTTTTATTTCTTACTCTTGTACCCATCCTTTGCTTTCCACTCCTCTTTTGGGTACATTGTGTTGTGATCCCCAACCCAAGCTGTCCCATGAGATGAGTGATGGCATTAGTGCTGCAATGCCAGAAGCCTTTAGCAGCCCAAGACTTAAGAAGAAGGGTAGTGGTGACTGTGTTCTTTTGACTGTTCTCCAGAAAAGACCAAGGCAACTATTGTGTGTGTGTGTGTGTGGGTGTGAGAGAGAGAGAGAGAGAGAGAGAGAGAGAGAGAGAGAGAGAGAGAGAGAGAGAGAGTGTGTGTGTGTGTGTGTGTATAACCCAGACAATAGTGAGAGTCTAGAGGAAAGTCACCATATTGTCCAGCAGGCTCCAGGAATCCTCACCAAAACAGAGCACAGGATACCCCAGGATATTCCAGGATAGCCTAGTATACCCCAGGGGAATCTAGAAAGCAGGAAGAGGTCAGAAAGAGCCTCTCTGGGGGCCACCAGGGAACAGTGCCAGCTGGCCTGTGGGCCACTGCTCAGAATACAGGTGGCAGCACTGGCTTGGGGATTGTGCGCACAAAGCTTGTGCTTAGCTGAAGGTGTGATACTTTAAGGTACTTTAAGACAGAGCCCTTTGGGTGTTATCCCTTCACCCTGAACTGAGAGAAAAGAGGCTGGGCCAGCTTCATTACTGATGTCAGAGCACTTCATTTCACTTGTTTTATCCATCTGAGTCATCTCCAGGTAGCATGGGCACAGAGCTCTGCCAGGGCTCCTGGGCTTGGGACCATCTATCTTCAGGGACCTGACAACCAGCAATGGTCAGTTAGACCATATGCCATTCTGCCTGCATTAGTCTTGGCAGGGCATTGCTTAGGACAAAGGTGGCCTTGCCATTCCTTCTTCAGCACCTATCCCAGGCTCCTCTGGAGCCCTGAGCCCTTGCCTGGCCCTGCCCCAAGCTCCATGCTCCTTGCAGGGCATTGGGACAGGACGGAGATATGGGCTAATTTTCTTTATTCTGTTGTTTCCCCTACTTCCCTCAACTTTTTTTTTCATTTTCTTTTTCTTATCCCGTTTTTTTAAAAAAACAATTTGGTTCTTTTCCCTTTGTGTGTATGTGTGAAACCCTTGAAAGCTCGCAAACTCAAACCTATGGGGCCTCCAGGTAGGACATGCATGGGATGGAAGATGTGTGTAGCTCTCGTCTGTCTAAGTTGGGGGGGGCAAGCCCTTTAGAGCCTATATCCCACCCTAGAGTACCTGCCCTTTAGTCCTCATGCTACCATCCTTGGACCCCGTCACCCTGTGGCCCTTCCCTGCCTGGAGTCCCTGTGTTAACCTGTACCTCCTTCTGGGCAGTGTGAGCACACCTTGCCTCTCTGACTCCTGCTTCCTCAGCTGCTGCTTTCCTGTTGCTGGACCCCTTGTCCTCAGTGTGTCTTGTTCCTTGGCCTGCTTCCTGCCTTGTCTTACAGCTGTGATCCCCCAACCCTGCCTCCCCTACTTATGAGCAGAGTGGTGGTCGTGGGACTCACCATGTTTCTGGGGGATCTATGCCCAGGACCAGGAACACACCTAGGACCAGAATTCTACTCTGGTCATCTGCTCTAGGGTGTCCCTCCCAGAGTCTGAATCCCCCCCATAACTCTGGAGTCTTTATACTGCAGTGGAGGAAGTGTGAAGACCCAGGAAACAGAGTTATTTATTCTGGGTGGTGGCTCCCTCTTGCTGTGTTTAGTTAGGACCAATTTGAGAAGCAGGAGACATATTCTTTGCTCATTTGCAGGCAGATGAGCTGCCTGGGAAGTTTTACTCAACATGTACACGCAAGCCACCCCCCTCCCCAGTTGGGGGGGCCTGTGCTGGAGAAGACCCTCATACCAGCACAGCCCTATAAAGTCCCTCCTGACCTGGTCCAGTAGAAGGTATAGGTTCTTTTCTCTGGAGCTGTGACCTGTTTCCTGCCTTTTGTAGGGACTGGACTAGGAGAGTAAGCACTTGACTCTCAAAATAGAAGGGTTGTTCAGTTGGGCATGCCCTTGGATTTCTCCTTCCCAGACCCCAGAGGCACAGGTAGCTGTGGAAGTAGCATCCTAAGGTCCAACCTCTCCTGGGGCTCCTAGTCCCCTGGCAGCTGGAAGACCTGTGTCCTGCCCTGTTATGCTCCTCCTCCCCTCAGCCCATCTTCTGCAGCCAGTACCATACTCAGAAAGAAGATGCCCCCCCCAACCACACACACACACACACACACACACACACACACACACACACCCCCTTCAACCTGTATGGCTGGAAGTGGTCCCATGAGACCAACAGTAGCCTCAGATTAGCTGATGCTCTCCTGGGGTTGCCCCTCCTCCAGCCCTCTGTGACTGCTCAGGGGTGACCAGCTATGTGCACGCCCCCACTTCCATGTGTCTGCCCCTGGTGGCTGCTTTGTGTGTCCTGGGCATGCGTCCAGTGTGGCTGGGAGGGATGGTTTTACATGTTTCTAACCTGGGCCTGTGTGGTGGTGGTTGTGGGGGTCCATGGGAGAGGGCTGTGCCAAGGACCCTGCTCCAGGCCCCAGGGCTGGTGAAAAAGTGGAGAGGAGGCCCTTGTGGCACTAGCTGCTAACTTTGATTGCTAGGCTCCTGCTTTATGCTGACTTGTCAAGGTCAGTGAATGGCCTGGGGGAGGGGAGGCAGAAAGGGATAAGGAGAGAAGCTCATGGTACTTCTTTTTTTTTCTTTTCTTTTCTTTGTTTCTTTCTTTCTTTCTTTCTTTCTTTCTTTCTTTCTTTCTTTCTTTTTTTTTTTTAACCAGCATTTTCAGAGACCTTCTAGGTCTCACTCTGGGACTGTGGCTATGAAGTAAGGAGGGTGCAGATGTAGCTATCCTTGCCAAAGCCTGTGCAACCTATGGAAGTAAAGGAAGAGAGGAGAAGTCCCCCCCCCCCAAGGCAGTAGTGACCCAGGGCTACAGGGTGGGTCTCTCTGAGTGGAGGAACAAGATTGAAGAGCAAGACTAGTTTGCCAGAAAACCCAATGGCCCTTCTGTTTTGGAGGTGGTAGAGAGCCATGAAATGTTTGACTGGGAGAATAGCAAGGCTGTTGGGCATATTTGAAAGATCTAATGGGGTAGGGTGGGGCAGAGAGAAGGTCAGAGTATTGAGAGAGCCTAGATGAGATAGGCAGAGGGATGAGGAAGACACAGGACATTTCCAGTAGGAGGCACTTATGTTCACACAGGGAGGAGGGCTGGCAATGATGGGCTAGGAGGTGGCTAACTACTGCAGGAACCCAAGCACAAGAACCAAGGCTCTGTGCTTTTTAGTTGAGGGGTCAAGAATGACAGACAAAGACACGCCGGGGGTCCTGAGGATCCTGGTGTGCAGTTCGGACTCTAGGAGGCCAGTACTGAAAGCGATGCAAGAGGGTCTGAGGCTGAGGCTGTCCTAGAGCAGGTAGCATCATAACTGGGATAAGAGAGTCAGGGTCTGGGGTCACAGGAGCCAAGGGGCTGCTGTGTTTATCCTAAAATGAGGTGGGGATTTCATGGAACAGGCACTTGCCAAGAGGAAGCTGAGGGTTTAAGGGTGAAAATGGGTGAGGATATTTTACCCCTGGACAGGAAGGGATTCATTCACCTTCCACATGGGAGCATGCCTTCCCTGAGATTATGGCTGTAGATACGGGCTGACCAAATGCCAGGGCAGGAAGGCAGAGGCAAGGCATGGGGCTAAGAGTGGTGTGTGACCAGGTCAGGAAAAGGAACTGTCAGGCTGTGTGCTGAGGGTCCCCAGGGCATCAGGGCCTGATTGTCCAGGCTAATCATCCTATAGACCTGGAAATGAGCTTCTCTTTGCCCAGCAAAGCCCTTTATCTGTGGCCTTCCCCCTGCATCATTCCAGCCTTTGGAGGCAAAGAAACTCCACCAGGGGACAAAAGGGTCTGAGACGTTGAATAGGTTGAGGCGCTGTGTTTGCAGTCCTTGAAAAATTTCAGGGGCAGGGAAGTAGAATGGAAGAGAGGTCCAGGGAGGAGATATCCTACCTGGACTCGGCTCTCTTGATCTACTCCATGCTGAAGGGCTGGGCCCTCACGGCCTGCTGCCCATGCTGGGTCCTGACCATTTATTTCCTGTGTCTAAGGTCCCAGAAACAACATGAGAGGAGAGAGAGAGTAAAGACAGCCCTGGAGCTTGGGAGAGGTGGAGGCACTGAGCCCAGAGCTTCAGGTGTTCTACACTCGTGCTCTGGCAGCTGCTGCTTGCTCTCATGGGTGAAGTAGATGTGGATGTACAGAACTGAACCTCAGATCTTACAGAGGTCGGCTTACTCACTTCTTCTCTTGCCCCAGACTCATCCCGCCACTGAATCAGCTGGAGCTACTGAGGAACCTCAAGAGCAAATCTGGACTCACCTTCAGGTCAGCACAGGGTCTCCTCCTAAGGGTCTGTTCCTCAAGCTGGGGCACTGGGCAAGCTGGGCATCTTGAGTCTCCTGAGAGGCTATAGAACCTTGGCCAGTGACCAAAAGTTCTGAGGCTGGGGTATCTTTGACTACTAGTCTTGATGTCGGTGGCTTCTGCTTCATTTGGCTGGGTTCAGGATCCTATTCCTAGAAGAGTAGCTGGTGGAGGGGATGGGCACAAGGTGAGTGAGGTAAAGAGTGGACTTCGATAAAGAATCATCTGACTCCATTCAAGGCTCATGCTTAGGACCCAGCACTGCATCTCCCAGCGTTGGGTGGTAACATGTTCATTGTACCTACTGGTTCTTTAATTAGAGAATCTGTGACTCACAGTGTTTGGATCAGTGACGAGTGCAAAGAAGGGCTTGCTTTCTACAGAAGTAGAGAATAGGGTTAGAACCCCAAGCAACTTCCTGTCTCTGAAGAGCCTTTGGAAAGGCAGGAGGGTAGCAGTGGGCTGATGGTAGGCCCTGTTCCTAAACATATATGGGAGCTTCTGAACCTGGTAATGTGTTCTTCAGCAACCATTCTACACCTGGATTTTCTGAGTGGATCCTGGATATATTTGTAATAGTTATATAAGAAGAAGGAATTTTGAAGTAACTCACAGGGAAGAAGCCAAATGAAGATATAGACAAAGACTGTAGTGATATAGCCACAAGGCAAGGCTACCTGGAGGAGCAAGGTGAATCCTCCCCCTAGAGTTTGTTGAAGGAGTGCAGCCAACACCTTGACTTCTGGTGTCTCTACTCCAGGACTGTGAGACAGTAACTTTTTGTGGGTTCAACAACTTGATTCCGATGTCCTGTTCCTGAAGCTCCAGACAACTCAGATTTTGGGTCTATAAAATAGGGTGCTGTTGTAACAAATACCCAAAAGTGTGACAGTGAGTTCAAAAATTGGGTAATGATTGGGCTTGGAAGAGGTTTGAAGTACACGTTAGAACAAACACACAGTACCTTGAAGGGATGGTTAATGGAAGTATAGGTGTTAAAGACACTCTTGGAGGTTTCCCAAGAAGTGAAGTTTTGGTTTACGGTTGGTTGGTTCCATTGCTTGCAGAATGTGGGAAGGCAGAAACATCACGGTAGAAGGGTGTGATGGATAAAAACCATTCATCTTTTCATGGCTATGAAGAAGAGAGACAGGAAGAAGCCAGGGACATGACATGACTCACTCTTCACAAGCACACACCACTGGTCTTTATCTGCATTCCCTGTACCTGCTAATAGCCTATTCACTATGAACTCATGGATGGATTAACTAAATCATGTCTTAATAATGCCACTATCTGGGGATCAAGACTTTAGCACACAATATGTTCAAGGAGATACTTCATATCCAAACTAAATGGGAATTGATACTGATGGTACCTCTCAACCCCATTGAGAAGGAAGTCAGCATAGCACCTGCTACTGAAAAGTAGGAGAGGTGGTACCTGTGGTAGAGTATCAAAGGCTTGCCTGAGTTCTGTTCCCCTGCTGGGTGGAAACAGAATCATAAGTGGTAGATTTGGATGTTCAGCCATTGAAGGAGGTTCCCTGCCAACTATGAAGAGTACAGCCTGATTTCTCCTTGATGCTTGTCAAATTTCAGAAGAAATAAGTTGAGGAACCCCTATGAGAAACTTGAACTTGGAGATCTTTGATGTTCTCAACCTGTCTAGACAGCAAAGGGCTATGCCTGAGGGAGAAGCAGTTCAGGGAGAGGCTGCTCAGCTACAGAGTATAGGCTGCAGATGAGGCAGGAAGTCAGTGTGAACTCAGATCCAATCATTCGTCTTGATGGAAGTCAGGAGTGAAGGTGCTTATCCAGGAAATCTGTGCAAAGGGTTCTGTGGAATGGCATCCACTCCTCAGCTACCTCGTTTCCCCCAATAGGATGCTTTTGTCTAATGGAGTCCATTCTTGGACTAGCTCTTTGTCGCAGAGAACTCCCCTGACTAAGTCCTTCATTCTGAGCCTCTTCAGGGTTCTACAGTGGCCTCTCCTGACCAATGAATTCCACCAAGTAATTCCATTGGATTACTTCAATGTCCCACATTAAGACGCTGCTGGCTAGTGCCATCCACCCTGGGCCATATCAGGATTATACAGACAATCCCCTCACTAGTAATATTCACTCTTGGGCCTCCTCGGTGTACCACAAAGTTTTGGGTAGCAGAGACACTGCTAGCATGGATTGAAAAGGACAGAGACAAGTGAAATAAAGGCAGCATTGTAGATTGTTACAAGTGTGTGGGGGTGGTGTTCCTGCAGTCACTCATGGCCACATGTACTGTCCTCAGTGAAGCAGAAGTAGACATTAGTAGGGCCAGGCATTAGTTTTTAATAACCTTTGAATCTCAGTAGAATTAGCCATTTGGGATTCAAGCTTTGGTAGCCAGGGACCCCTTTATCAACCTTTTCATTTTGAGAGGAACTGTCATCCCGTGTTTGTCCTGCCATCACAGGCACTAGATGAGTGATTTACTTTTGAGACTCATGCCTGTGTGCAGAGGGCTTTTCTGAAGACAACCACGCTAGAGTCTTGATAACCTCATTTATGTGGCTTAACAGACAATTGTTTTTTTTTTTTTTTTTTTTTTTTTTTTTTTTTTTTTTTTTTTCACAGAGCTGATGCTGCAGAGGGTTGAGACTTAAGGAATTTAGGGATGGATGGTGTGTTCTAGACCTCAAGTGTACGATCAGTACCTGAGCACTGACTCTCAAATCATGTCTGTGACTATGACCTTACTTTGAAAAAAGGCCCTTTCTCAGGCTGTAAGTTAAGAGTACCTATGTGACTGTCAGGAGAGGAGACACAGGATGCCAGAAAGTACACAAGGGGGAAGATGGAAGAAGAAATTTGAGAGATAAGCTGTTAGCCAATGATGCTGGAACCCCCAAAGCTGGAAGAGGTAGCCATTTCCCTGGTCCACTGGAGGAGTGACTACCCACATCTTGACTTTGGATTTGTGGCCTCTGAAGCCAAGAGAGGAGATTTCAAATGTCTAACTGCCCCTAGATGCAGTTGGGGTCGATAGGGTGGGTAGGAGTGTGCATATGCCCTTAACTGTTCAGGCATTTGAGCTCCCAGCAGGGCTGCTGGGCTAGACCCTCACAGGTGTGTGACTTCTCCGTGAGGGCCAGGGGGGAACTGAAATGGCTTGGGCTTATCCTCAGGAGCTTCAGGAACCTGGCTGAACCCTGTTTTCCTCTGCTTTAACTTCTCTGCCCACATCATAGTGGTACAGTAGCTATTGTGCACAGTATTTGGAAATGTAGTGGCAAGTCCTTGTCATACAGAAGACTGGTCTGGCACTGCCTTTCCAAGGGTACCAGGGGCCACTCCTCATCTTCCCTCATCAGCCAAGTAAGGTCCAGCCATCATCTAGTTATCACCACTAAAAAGAACCAATCCCAACAAAACAGATAATGGCCAAAAACAGCCCTGCAAGTAGATCGGGGCCTGGGGATGACTCCTGGCCTTGAAACAAACACTGATCATGGACTGTGGCAAAGTCCTTGGTTGATTCTTGCTCCCACTGAAAAACTGCCCAGAAAGAGGGAAATTCCATTAAGTCAAGAGCTTTCTTCAGCCACAGTTTTTTTTTTTTGATTATTATTATGCTGGTATGAGTCTGTTGAAATGAGTATCCATTAATCTCAAATAAAAGAGCCCTCTGGGTTAGAGGATCACAGTTCCCTTGGGAGTCCCTTCCTTCCCCTGAACTTTGCTCCTGGGTCTTGTAGGGCCTCATCAAGAGAGCAGGTACTCTAAGAGGGTGGCTGTTTGCATCAGATCCTATTATATACAACCAAACCTGTGGGCACGAGGACAGGTGTCAGGTCTGAGGCTAAGGACCTGAGTAGATCAGAGGGATCCTAGAAGGTACCAAGGGAGGTCCCCATTCCTAGGCTACTGGATATACCATGGGGCTGCCAGAAGTGAGTATCTACTAACTCTCTGTTCCTCTTTTGAAGGAAGGAGCCACAACCTGAGCCATCACCAAGGTCAGTCCCTCCTGCCTCCAGCTGCCCTGATGTGTGCTGCACCCATCTTGCCTTGCTCCCTCTCTGTACACCATGTGCCATGGGGCAGGGCTATCATGGGACCCTGTGTGTGCGTCTGTGTGCAGTGTGTGACAGTGTGTCTTGGCACACATCCAGGGTCACTGCTCGGTTACATCCTCCTCACAGGGATTTGGGCAGCAAATGGGTGGGACTTTTTGAGGTCATCTCTCCTCAACACTGCTCACATGGGACTCTGAAGCTGAGATTCCTATGTACGCTGCAGGTATTTGCAGGCCCAGCTGGGAATTCCGAGCAGGGGTCTCTCTCACCACTCTAGTGGGAGGGGGGAGTACAGGGTCAGATGCTGGCAGAGGGAAGAGGACCTTGCTATCCTGATAGCCCCTGGGTGGGAGAGTGCCAGAGTCCTCCTGAGGAGGACTCCCACCTCACTGCTCCCTCTCCTGGTCCCTGCTGGCCTCCCAGGTTCCATGTGCTCAGGCTGGGTAGACAGGGCTCCAGTGTCAGTTCTGCTTGGTAGAGAAAGATAGAAACAGACTGTGTTATCCTGGCACTTACAAGCAAAGAAAGATATCTCACAGATTTTGAGTTCAGTGTCCATATGCCTGGGTCTCCAAGGCCATTAGGCTGAGTTATCCCTCCCCCCAAGTGGCCTGTCCACAAGGTGCAGTGTGACTATGTGGCCCCCAGACTTTACACCTACCTCCTGCCTCCCCCCCAGATAGCAGGGCAACCTAGAACATTATATATATATATATGCTCTTGTGCAGAGGAGGGTGGAATTAGGCTGAACCCACCCTCTATCCATTGGAGAAGGACACTGTCCTCCTCTCCCATACCACAAAAGGAGAATTGATAGGTGGTGCCCTGAATTGCAAAGACTGGCTTCCCAAATCAGCTAAAGAGCCAACCTATGATGGAAAGCCCTGGCCACTAAGAACACTAGCTGGAGAGAGATGGGCAATCAGTCAAGTGTAGTCTTGGTTGTTGACAAGTGGAGGTAAGAGAGCTAGCCTCACCTGGCCTTAATGTGGGTAAAACAGGAGAGTATTGGTATCCTCACTGTCTGCTGGTACCCACCCCAACTCCTCACTGTCCATCAGGGCTGTTCTGGTCTGTCCCTCACTCAGCACTATTTCCAATGACCCTGGGCCTGGGAGTCTCTTTGGTCTTGGACACCAGGGCTGAATTGGCCTAACCCTCAGCTGTGCCCCAAGTGGACTGAGACTGCCCTGGTGGGGATGGATCTGAAGGCTTTTTGTCTTGTCTCCACACTACCCTGACTGCCTGGCACTTGAACCCTGACTGGGAGCAAGTTGCCCAGGAGGCTTCTGGCCTCCAGCAGTTTCTTGCGCTTGTTGCCGTAGCTTTAGCACACCCTGTGAGATTCTCGTCTCAGCCTCTCTTTCTCTTTCTTCCTCTTCTGCCCCCATCTGGAAAATCTTGCTGCCCCCAAGTGCTTTTAATCACTGTCACTGCCCTTCTTGGGCCCCTTTCTCGTCTGCTCTGTCTTTTGGGATGAGGTGCTGACCCTGAAATCAGGACTCAAGGTGAGGACCCACGGGAGCCCCCTGGCTCTCCGGTATGTTCCGTGGCTCCCCTGCTCTCCACCCCGCCACTCCTCTGTCTTCCCTGCGTGTCAGTGGCCCTGCCTGCCTGTACCTCCACACCCTTCCCTGAGGGCCAGCGCCCACCAACCCAGTCCTCCTCCCAGGACGCCCTACTCCCAAAAATGCTCCATTGGGGCAGCACATTTGCCATCCCTGGGAAGGGTGTGCAGGACCTTTGCACGGACACTGGGCTCCTCAAGGAGGTTGGGGCACCTGGAGAGCTGAGTGTTGAGGGAATGAAGAGCAGTTTCTGTCAGTGAAGACCCCAACTCCTTCATTGGGTTATAGACCGCTGGCCAGGTAATGGAGGGTGGGGTGGATCTCTGGCCTCTGCCAGGGGCAGCTATACCCTCCTGTTTAGCGTCAAGAACATAGGAAGTATGCAGGAAATTGCTACCTAAGTGAAAATAGTGGGTTGAGCCTGTCCCTTGGCTCTTGTTTTGAAATGCTGAAGTGTGTGGGGGCAAGCCTAGTTCCTCAGAGTCTTGCTATCCTTGGACTCAGCCAGTCTATCAGAAGTCAGTGGCCATTGTTCTGTCTGGCTCTAGGCGCAGCCTTGCACTTTGCCTGCACTATCTGGGCAAGTGAGTGGTGTGAACCCAGGACCTCTACCTCAGCTGCCCGAAGATACCTTCCCAGTGTCGCGTGGTTCAGGATACAGGTGCATGGGGTGGTTTGTTCCTGAGGGGACCTATATGACTAGGCTGGGATCACTGGGGGCATCTGGGTTGGGGGAATCCAGGGCAGGTGGGAGCTCAGGCCTGTGCTGTACTGGTGTTTCTTGTGACTGCAATTGCTGTGACTGTCCTTTGTGGGCCTGTCCTCTTCCTCACTGTCTTCTACCCTATGCCTAGAGGAGCCCTTAACCCCAGCTTTGCCTTTCTTGTCCATGGATCCACTCTTCTTCACAGGTGGAGGTGTTTGTGTGTCCTAGTGCCCATCTGCCCTGTCTGGCCTTAGCCAGTGTCTGTGGGCATCTCTGTTCCCCACTGGGCTTGGGTTCCTCATGGGCTGGCCAGTTGTCATCTGCCTGGGATTGAGATTGGCCAACCATTCCCAGAGTAGAGGAGCTTCACTTTGCTGATGGGGCAGAAAAAAATGGGGTCAGAGGGAATGAACAGTGTCACACCAGCACAAATCGGAGTCCTTGGCACCCACCAATTAGAGAAGGTTGTGGAAGCACTCTCTCTTCCTCAGATCTTGTCAGGCTCTCAAGCCATGTTTTCCCAGACAGGAGTGACAAGCCACATGTGGCATTCATTAAAGTGGACACAGTGGCCAGGTGTGGTCAGTGGCTACCCCACTAGACAGCACAACTATCAGACATGGTCTCTATTACAAAACTGAGTTAGGTCCTGGCTTCTCAAGAAGCCATAGAGAAGTTGGGGAGCAAAAAAGACGTTTGTCAAAGGTGCTGGGAATGGACTGCCTGCCTTTCGTTCTCAGGATGGACATAGAGGACAGGGCCCAAGGGGTAGGCTCACTTGCTTAACAGGCTGTTTAGCCCTGGGTCGAGTCATAGGGAGTGCTGCTGGCAACAGCACCCTGTAGTAAGTCAGCAGCATGTATCCAGCCTTTGCCCTGCATCACCAGAGTGTGTGAGGAGCCCGAAGCTGCTTGGCTACCTAGAGTGCCAAACGTATGTGGATTTTTGGGCAGAAGTACAAACAGTTTGGCAACTAGCCTGCTTTCCAGAATCTAGTTCTAATTTCTATTTACACTAGTTAGAGAAATATGTCCTTTGTTCCTAAATGGAGAGGCTCATGCATCTTTGACACATAACAGAGAATGCAAGTGGCTTGAATAAATATGCAGTGGGAAATGGTTCCTTGGACACTTTCTTCCTGGGGCTTGTTTCTGATTTCAGATGGTCCTATATGTTGGTTTCCTCAGGTGCAAAGTTTGCAAAGTGCTGTTATAACTACACAGGAAGAGGGAAGGCTTGTAGGAAAAAAAGTGTTTCAAAATTTTCTCTTTTTCCTTTTCCCTTTTCTTTTTGGTTTTTCAGGACAGGGTTTCTCTGCATAGCCTTGGCTATCCTGGAACTCACTCTGTAGACCAGACTGGCCTTAGACACTGGTTTCTTCTTTCTTTCTTTCTCTCTTTCTCTCTTTTTTCTTTCT